CATCCATCCATCTACCATCCATCCATCCATCCATCCATCCTCATCCATCCATCCATCCATCCATCCATCTACCATCCATCCATCCATCCATCCATCCTCATCCATCCATCCATCCTCATCCATCCATCTACCATCCATCCATCCATCCATCCATCCTCATCCATCCATCCATCCTCATCCATCCATCTACCATCCATCCATCCATCCATCCATCCTCATCCATCCATCCATCCATCCATCCATCCATCCATCCATGGTATGTCTTTGGTGGAGGTCTATTCTCTCCATCAGATTCTTTCCTCTGCACTGAAACGCACCACAGGACCTCATGTCTATTTTAGCTGTTGATCAGAACCAACCCAGGGGTGACGTCTAGTAGCTGCAGATCTACACCTGATTCACCTGATCAGGGATTATTTTGTAGAACCGATCCTGTTATCTTGGAGGTCGTATTGAGTTTCTACCTCCATCGTTATCAGTGTTTCCCAACCTCATTTTGCTTGCGTTCACCTCTGGGCCTTTTGTCTCACCATGAGCCTAGAGGGCGGCCATCTTGGGTCAGACCACAGTTCATTCAGCTGCTGTCAGAATGAACAGGAGGCTCCTTTGACCTCAGTTTAATCCCATGAAAGAGTCACAGATTATATAATCTCTTACATGTCACAACAATTTAAAGGACCAAAACTCATTCTGAGATTACCTTTACATTAGATTACAGATTTATTCAGATTAAAAATGATTTAAACTGGATGAGATTTATGCAAAGTTAGATATTGTGCAATTAAATATTAATATAAGCACAAAGTTTTATTTTAATATGTTAAATTCTGTTTTACAAATATATATTTATATTGTATGTTATTATTATTATTATTATTATTATTATTATTCAGTATTTTTAAGGATTGCTCTTTGATAATGAATATTATGATCTATAGAGGAACATTTGTTGTAATGTGATTCACAAGAGAGAGTAATGTTTTTTTGTTTTTTAAAATTAATTTTATGTTCATTTTCATTTATTTTTTGTTAAAAATGTCATTGTCAAGAAACTTTTGTCAAATCGTAGTGAATATGAGAACATTTGTTCTTTAGTCAGTTAATGATGTCATATATATATATGTGTGATGTATATCCTCATTCACAGCTTTCAGAAATCAGGGCGTTTTAAGCTCTCCTCTGCTTCTCATCATCTTGTTTTACCAGCAGTAACTGTGAAACATGAGGATAATCTGTCATAATCCTCCTAAGTAAAGATAATCCCAGTGGATCTGGTTCATAGTCTCTTTTCAGTTCTGCACCCATAGGCAGAATAAAAATCAGGCATCCTGAAAATTAGCTCTGGAAGTTTGCTAATTGTCAATAGAAAATCAAAATGACGTAGAAAATCCGATCAATCAGTGGGTCCCATGTGACCCAGTCAGCCAGTTTATCTGGAAATCAGCTGAGAGTTCACCGCATTCAGAGCGTCTCAAGTCATTAATCCATAGACATGTATTCTCTCGGGCAACAGCTTGGTCTGACCCAAGATGGCCGCTCTGCCGGCACGCCTGGCTTAATATTAGGGCACATCCTCACAAAGCAGAACAGATCGCAGAACAGATTTTTTTTATTACCTAAGAAATAAAGTACTTTCATGTTCCCCGTCTAATGCGCCCACAGACCACTAAAGGTACGCCTCGCTGATCTACATGATAAACATTTAATAATGGTACTCTGAATATAAAGGAACGTAATACCTAATCAATGCAGACATTAGCAGACGGTAGGGCTGCTCCATGCAGGCTATCAGCTGATCCCAGAAAAAAGGCTAACAGCAGCCGGCTGATGATGTCATTCTATCAATGTCATCATCTGCCTATCGCCGTTTAATCTGAGGAAATCAGCTAACTTTACAGTTTAGGATTATTAGAGTCGCTGACTGACAACTGGATTTGATCTAGTTTGATACCTTTTGCTATTTAAAGTCAATACTTCTAAAATGTTTTATAAATACAGCAAAGGGTTTCTACCTGAGTCTGTGGTTGCTGTGGCAACCAGACGTCCCCGATTTCTGGGGTCAGTCCTGCTTTTACCGCCAAATGTTGCGTGTACAGTTATTACGGTAGAAAAAGGGCGTTAGCATGCTGCGCTCAGAAACAGCTTTTAGCTAGCTGGTTGACAGCTGTTAGCTAGCTGGTTAGCAGCTTTTAGCTGGCTGGTTAGCAGCTGTAAGCTGGCTGGTTAGCAGCTGTTAGCTCATTAGTTTGCAGCTTTTAGCTGACTGGTTGGCAGCTGTTAGCTTGCTGGTTAGCAGCTGTTAGCTAGCTGGTTAGCTGCTGTTAGCAGACTGGTTAGCAGCTGTAAGCTGGCTGGTTAGCAGCTGTTAGCTCGTTAGTTTGCAGCTGTTAGCTGACTGGTTGGCAGCTGTTAGCTTGCTGGTTAGCAGCTGTTAGCTAGCTGGTTAGCTGCTGTTAGCAGACTGGTTAGCAGCTGTTAGCTAGCTGGTTAGCAGCTGTTAGCAGGCTAGTAAGCAGCTCTTAGCAGGCTGGTTAGCAGCTGTTAGCTAGGTGGTTAGCAGCTGTTAGCAGGCTAGTTAGCAGCTGTTAGCTAGCTGGTTAGCATCTGTTAGCAGGCTGGTTAGCAGCTGTTAGCAGGCTAGTTAGCGGCTGTTAGCTAGCTGGTTAGCAGCTGTTAGCAGGCTGGTTAGCAGCTGTTAGCTAGGTGGTTAGCAGCTGTTAGCAGGCTAGTTAGCACCTGTTAGCTAGCTGGTTAGCGTCTGTTAGCTGGCAGGTTAGCGACTGTTAGCTGGCAGGTTAGCAGCTGTTAGCTAGCTGGTTAGCAGCTGTTAGCAGGCTGGTTAGCAGCTGTTAGCTAGG